GGAAAACAGGCAGTGTAACGAAAAAAGGTTGAGGAACTGCAAGATGAAATTAAGAAGAGAGAAAGACAGAGAAATGCAGTACGAGTTCTTTTGGCTGCGCTGCAAAAAACGTGAAAATGGTGAGACGAAATGTGTGCTTCAGGCTCACCGTTGAGTCGGCTAAACTTGGATCAGCTTCACGATACAGGTTGTTGATGTCCAAGGGTGGTGGCTGATCTGCTGTGTAATCAGGATGTCGATCGATCCCGTGAGCGTGAACGTTCTCGGGAGGTGGTAGTGATTGTTGAGAGTGGAAAGCTTGAGTGGCTGTGAGATCGTGCAGGAGACTGTGGTGGAGTGGTGGGTGATCTGGCGAGAAAATCGGTAGTGTGTGGCGGAAAGTGCCAGTCTGCGTGCTCGCATTAGGCGCATGGTGGCCCGTCCCAGGTCGACGACACGGCTGTGATATTGGTGAAAAAGGCAAAAGGCATTGTGGTCCACAAACATGGTGGTGTCTGGTACAGGGCCGCCTGCCATGGGGTGCTCCAGGATGTGTGTGACCAGCAAGAACAGGATGTCAAACAGTCGGTGAAGGAGTAGGATTTCTGGCTGGTGTGTAAGAGAAGGGGCGAGGTGAATGGGACCGTTGCCTGGAAGAAAAGGCTGAGTGGATTGGGTGTGCGGAGCAGTGCTCTGTGGTGTGTGCTGACGGCTGGTGTTCATGCCAGAAGTTGGTTGTGTGCCGCTGGTGTCATGTGGATGAGCGGCAGCCATGATGGAGCGGCTAAGAAAGAACGGAGGGTGCGCACGAGTCAAGTTCACTGGTAAATGGCTGCGATGTGGATGAAAAGCGCTGAAAACCTCAGGATGGATGGCAAGAAACTTCAAAATGAAAAGAAGCATGGTCCGCAAGACTGCAAAAAGTTAGAAGAGAAGTACAATTGAGACTGTTAACTGTTGGCTGTCCGAATTCCCGGGCTGAGCATGCATCTATTTCCGGCAGCGCGCCGAAGGAGACGGGGTGAGACTGAGCAATCATACAAAATAGCTGCCTAGAAAGTGGTCATCTACAGGTTCCGGATGGCTGTCCTCACTGTTGGTGCGCCGCGCAGCCGCTGCGTAGGCATCCGCTGCTGATGGTAATGGAGGAGGTGGAGATGAAGAGCCGGAGAAGTCTGCTGCAGAGTGTAGCTGTTGGGGAGGTGTTGTTGGCGGGGTTGAATTGGGAGGAGGAGAAACTGTTGGTGATGTGCGTGCAGGCGATGTGGGAGTGGGGGAGATGACTGGTGAAGTGATTGGAGAGGGTGGTTGAGAAGACTGAGGTCGTGTGGAGGCGTCTTGGAGTCGTTGTTCTTCCTGAAGTTCCTGCCAGCGGGCTTTACACTGTTCGATGGAAAAGCCCACCCGTCGGGCAACGTAGTTCCAGTTGGGGCAGAGACGGATGTCAGTCTTCAACTCCACAAGGCGGATATCTGCTTCGCCGTCCCAAGCGTCCCAATCAACGTTGGGTTCAGTGGCGGTGGTGGTTCACGTCTCTTCTTGGGTTGTGGTGGCTGTGGGGGAGGTGTGGAGGAAGAGGAGTCTTGAGATGCTGTTGGTTTGCGTGGTGCTTTCTGGATTGGCTCGATTGGTGCTGAGTCGCAAGAAGAAGTGGGTGATGGTAGTGGTATGGTGAATGAAGGAGGTGGCGGAAGAGGGGGGAAAGATCGTTGGAAGTGAGCATCAACCTGTCCTGTATGGAGCAGGTAAAGGCTGTGTAGATTTGCCAGGATGTCAGTTGCTTGCTGGAGAAGGCGGTGCAGTTGTGTGAGAGCAATGGTGGTGCGGTGAATCAGCTGAGTGTGATCTGGGCTAGGATTCATCCTATGTGAAAGCTTTGATGATGAATGCTTGTGAACAGCAGCTCGGCAGCACGTCAGGTGTAGCGCGGCGGCCCAGGCAACATGAACGAACGGCTGAGGCGTGCAAGTGAATTATCAAATGCGAATTATCGAGCATGAATTTCGCAGCACACATGAATTGGGCAGCAAAATTGGGCCTTCATGGAGGCCTCAAAAGGTCTTTGAGGACCACAAGTTGAAAGGCATGAAGTATCCGAATCCGTCGGGGTCAGGAGGCCACCGTATCAATGTTAAATCGAGATCCCAAGAAGGTGAATCATCAAAGAAAACTCGAGCAGTGTGACATGTCACATGGCAAACATCCAAAATCGGAACCAACTTGCAAAGAAGTGAAACAAACATGGCGTCTAAGTGATGGAAGCGCTGCCCATGGAAGTCGAACCTCACTCGGGTTCTTTTTGGCTAGGCGAGTGGTATGTGGTGATGGGTGAAACAATTGGTAAGGTGGAAGCTGGTGTGGCAGGGAATCAGGTGTCTGGTGGAGTGGAGTTAATCGACCACGCCAGGCCTTTGACGATTGCGTTGTCACCCAGGATCTGGCTTTGGCGTGGCAAACGGCACCGTGGTTCTGGAGAAGCAGGTTCATCGCTTGCTCCTCGCCTCCGCTAGTGAATTTGGTGCCTTGGCCCCAGGCAAGGAGGTTGATAATAATTGAGTGTGTGTTCTTTGCGAGGTTCCATGTGTTGTGGAGAATGCGGGCGTGTTCTGCGTTGTCGTGTTGTGGTTGTTGTGTGATGCGTACGGCTTGGGCGGAGAAGCCCGGGTTGTTGGCGAAGTGGAGTGTGCTGGGCAGGAAACGACCCTGTTGTAGGATGTTGGTGATGTTGCCGAGAGGGCCGGTATGGCCCGCGTTGATGTGTTCCATCTCTGGTGTGGTGGAGGTGGCACGTGTAGCGGATGGTGGGAAGCTGCGGGTTGCTTTCTGCACGAGACTGGGAATGGTGATGCAGTGATATTGGTAAATGTCATGAGTGTTGGCAGTGTCGTTCCATTTGATGTGAGTGAATTGGCGGAAATCTGAGAGGTCTTTGTATGTAAAGCCGCTGTCGAGCAGCAGTTTGGCGATGTATGTGTGTTGTGGTTTGTTGGGTGCGTCGAGTTGGTCGGCGTGATAATCAAGCCAGAGTTCCAATTGTTATTGTGGGGTGCGTTGTTGAAATTGTGAAAATGGTCGCCATGGTTAGGTGAGCGCTGGCGGTGGTGTCGTGTTGAATGATGTCCGCGAGAGGCATCCTGCTGGGTAGTTGAGTGCGTGGTGCGGTGGCGACGAGTGCGCCTGCCTCGAGTGTGATGGCGATGGCGGCGACGATGGGATCGGTGGTGGCTGCTTTGGTGACTGGGAGCGGTGGATGCTGGGAGTGGATGAGTGGCGACGGTCTGTGGGTGAGCTGGTGGTGGTTTGGGAATCTGTGTGGCCGGAGGATTGTCGGATGGATTGGAGGCTGCAGCGTTAGAAGGTGGTGGTAGGTGTGGAAGAAGTTTGCTCAGTGCCGGGGCGGTCTGCTTGTGTTGAGGGTGCCGTGGAGGTTGGCGATTGGAGGCCAGGAGTGGCCACGGCTGGAAGTGATGCTGGTGCTGCAACAGGTAAAGGGTCAGGAGGTGATGAAGTGGCGACTGCAGAGGTCTGGCTTGGTTGCGTTGGGCCTGGTGAAACATGACCCGGATGAGCGACTGGCGGGAAAACCGAAAATGGTTGCCAGACTCCCTGGCTGTAGTCCCATTGCATTGGTGCCGGTTGGCAGGCTTGTGATGGAGCTGGTTGTACATGAGGCGCTGGTGGTTGGTGTGGTTGTGGTTGTGGGGAAATCATGGCAGGAGGTTGTGATGGTGAGGGGGTTCCTGCGGAGGCAGTGAATAGGAGAATGGAATCGTGTGGTGATGTGGTATCGGAGGTGTGAACTGTGTTGGTGGTTGGAAGTGTGGTTGCGGTGGATGCTGCCATGTTGGCTGCGGCATAGGAGGCAATGTCGGTGGCAGGTGTGAAATCATGGGAGGCATGTGAGGTTGTGTCTGTTGGATGGGAAATGTGTGGGCTGCTGTAGGTGGTGGTTGTTGAGTCCAATATGGGTATGGCCATGGATACTGCATTGGCTCGATGTTGGTGATAGTCGAGGTTCCACTCAAAAGGCATAGCTTCAAAGGTGACGGCTGCTCAATGGCACCAGCGCGGCACGGCAACTGTGTGAAGGTCTCTGCTACTTGTACCCGTGAAATGAAGTCGTGAAAAGGTGATGATGGGGTGGAGATGCATGAAAGTCTGAAAACATGATTGTGAAATGGCACGAGATGAGAAATCTGTAGGTGGTGAGTCGAATGTGTAGAAATTCTGTGGTGAGAGACTGAACGTGAGTCGACTGTACACACTTGAAACTCGAAAGTCAGCTGCATACTGAAAAATTGAACATGCAGTGAAATGACATGCCGAGGTGCAGTAATCTGAATGGGTTCCATCGTATTAGCCCGGCGGCTCAAAAGGCAGTGAACTCAAGGTTGAAGAAGGCAGTTAGGAGATCCAAGGTTTGGTGAGACCGATCAAGGCTGTTACACGATTTCCGGCATGAAAACGGCGCCTCCTTGCGGAGGATCACACCCAGCACCCAAGTGGGACGGCTGAGCGGTTCACACTCTGACATTGGTTTGCTGTTAACTCAATTCCCACGTTGAGAAGGAAGGCGAGGGAACAGAAAGGTGAAAGAGTCGGCGACACCAGTATTGTTGCAAAATTGTTTCACAAAACGCTCAAGTGAAAGCGATCAGCGGCTCAACTGCAGTGCAAAAGGTAGAAGAAAAGGTTTGAGGGACGTATCATGAAGAACCATGAATCAAACCGTGGAAAAGTAGGGTCACAGCTTGTGGAGAACTCAGCAGGTACACGAGACGTCTCTCAGTGCTTCCCCTCCAGCGACTTAGCTTCGTTGGACAAGGTTCATCGCTGGAGGCCTTGCCCCCCTGCTTGCATAGCTGAAAGATAAAGAAAGGCGGCGCCCTTTGGAACAGGGGTTGACACACACACACACATCACACACAGAGACCCACGCACTGCCTCAACTTACTCGGACACACACACACAGACAGAGACTCATACACACACAGACATAGATACACACACACACACAGAGACCCACACACTACCTCAACTCACTCGACTTAACACTTCACACTGAACACTTAACAGATAACTCACACTCTGACTTCCTACGTGATGAAAAATGCTTTTGGGCCACTCGTCGTCTAGTTTTTTGTTCGGATTAAGTTGGGATGATTTTGGGTACCCGCATTGATGTGACCCATTTGCAACGGGGATAACCGCGATGACATTTCTGCGAGTCGAAGCAGTTGATCATCCACAGCTCCTGGCTCAGAGTTTTTGCGGCAGCGTCATCGCTTCTCGCACCTCAGCATGGGCATCGGGCCTTCCTCGGAAGTGAGGGGAAACACAGTCCAACTGGTGTGGGTGCCAGCTTCGATGGCCACATGTTGTGGCGGCCTGAAGAAATTGGATGGAGACGTTCCAGAGTGGCTCAAGGATAACTATGAGCAGATCTTGGAGATGGGCAAACCCTATGAATCGTGTGTCTGGTGCCAACAGGATTGCTGTGGGGAACCTTTGTGTGAAAGTCCATGGGAGAATGCGCTTGAGAATGTGCCCTTGACAGAGATGAGATCTCAATTCCCACAGTACCGCTTCAATTTCAAGCCTGAGTGGTGTGGCATGGGCAAGGGTGCGCATTGGCAGCATGTCTTGCAGATCTCCAATGCTCCTGGAGCAGTGACTGGCCAAGTGGTAGGTGTGCCAGGGCAAGCAAGCATGCCCTAGAGTCCTAGAGCCATGTGGTGGTTTCCATACATGGAGGTACCATTAACCAATGGTTTCCAATACTAACACCAAGTAAACTTAAATGACATTTTGGGCGCACCTATTCCTGGAAACCACCATGTCAGTGAAAACTGCCGCTGATACGACCCCTTCAGGCCGAAAACCCATATGATGATTAGACGCTTACCGAAATCAACTAAATAACGTTCCCTCCGGTAATTCACCATAGCAATGGAAAATAACCAAACCATTTTCAATAGGTACACCCCTGAGATGGCCCTTAGTGCCTTGAATAATGGAGCTGATCTCAGAGTGCTAACGATACCGGATCCAGATACCATGACGACATGTGGGGTTGGCTGGAAATGATGGCAACAATGACTCACAAGGTCGCCAGGGGAATCCGATTTCTATCCATTTTTGTAGGTATAACAAAAACACACATATATATATATATATTTTTTTTTTGAAAGCAGTGCCACCGACCGTACCACCAGCAACACAGGTTCGTATGGGTGCAGGCAACCTCAGGCTCAGGGCAGCTAAGAGAGGCGACCGTTCGTGGGTTGGGTCAGGAAGGCCCTCTTTGACCACGTAGGTCTAGTTTGAACATTGGTAGCGGAGCTCCCCCGCCGTCGGGGGGCATCCAGGTTTCTAGTGTGCAGTCTTAGGTAGGGCTGGATCACGAAAGCAGTGCCATGGCTAGTGAACACCAGGGTGGGAACCATCGGAGGTTCAGTGGGGAAAGCTTGGACCCTCGAGAGTTCGGAGATGGCGGCTTTGGGCAGAGGCTCGCATGGCCTCGGCGAAGGATATGGCTGCAACCCATAGAGGACCTTTTGTACTGTGCTTGTTGGATGGCTTGGCCCTAGAGGCCGTTGAGCATTTGACATTGGACAAGCTGAAGGAGGAGAACGGTGACAAGTACATTTGGCAAGCCTGGAAGAGCGTTTTCCAGATCGGTTGTCGCATGGTTGGTTGGCAGAATGCCTCAAGGAGGTCTTCGGGTTGGCTGCAAAGGACAGCGAAACAATCGCTGCATGACATCCAGAGTCCAGGAAGCCTTCTCGAAATGCAGTCGCAAAGTCTCAGTAGATTTTCCAAGTGAGGCCCGGGGCTGGATCTGTTTGACATCATTCGGTCTTTCTGCTGATCAGCGTGCCATTGTGACCGCCAAAACCAATGGAGAGCTGAAGTTCGAGGTGGTGGCAGCGGCTATGAGAAGCTGTTCCCAGAGTTCAGGGCCAGCCGCAAGTCACGACCTGCGACAGCTTTGTTGGTTCAGCAGCCGGAGATCGACGAGAGCGAGGTGGAGGCAGGCGTTCCCCTGGCTGACGAAGGGCCAGATGCTGTGTCCTTCGATGAAGTGCGTTCCTAGCCGAACATGGGGTACGGGAGCCCAATCCAGTCAATGAAGTGTTCGATGAGGACGAGATTGCTGAGGTGTTTGAGGTGTTGGCCGCCACATGGCGGGAGAGGAGGTCAGAGATCTCCAAATTGCAAAAGTCCAGACGTTTTGGACAGGCTGCAACGGTGAAGAAGCCATTCTCACGAGAGATCACAGACCTTCAGAGGAAATCCCGATGCAGAGCATGTGGCCAGATCGGTGATTGGGCCAGGAACTGTCCTCAGCGATCTAGCAGTTCAGCCAGTGGAAGCAGGACCGACAAGGACAAGGTGCATGGTGCAGCAGTGGTGGTGGAAGCATTGCTGGTGTCGTCCCCAGGGTATGGCATCATTGATTCTGGATGCAGTCGTACATTGATGGGGCAAGATACTTCTTCGCCTGTATCATGAACAGAATCGCCAGGTGCCCACCACCAAGGCACAACAGAACCTGTTCAGGTTTGGCAACGGGCAGGAAGAGCTGTCCGAGCGCATCGGTTCCAATCCACGGAAGAGCTGGACGCATTGATAGTTGCATCATTAAGGGCGGGGCGCCCTTGCTGCTGAGTCGAAACACCATGAAGAGCTTGAGAGCTGTGCTGGACTTTGAAGCTGAGACCATTTCCATTGACGGTTCAGAACCACAACCGTTGCAGAAGAACTCAGCAGGCCAGTTCATTCTGAATGTCAAGCTCTTCTGTGTGAAGAAGAAGGCTCAGAGTGCTTGGAGTCCCAAGAACCCTCGATGGAACTGGTTGAGGGACGTGAACGAATGCTCACCAAGAAGGAACAGCGTTGCCTCTTATAGCACATCAGGAGGCATGGAACAAAGAACAAAGTTCAGTGGCACTGGCTGAGTTTTTTTCTCCACCAAGGTTCACGACAATGTTGGAGAAGACTGGAGAACAAGGCCTGGCTTTTGACATCAATCAGGGTTGGGACCTCACAGATCCAAAGACCCAGAAGGAGGTCGACCAGAAGCTGGACGATACAAAACCGGAGTTGCCGGTATGTTGCCCAGAATGCAAGCATTGGGGTGGCTAGTATAGACTCAACAGACACAAACTCCCGGTCATGCAACAACTGCACAACCAGAGGCAAGCACGAGCACAGGCAGATTTCTGTGCTCAACAGATTCGAAAGCAGTTGAAGCGTGGTGGTCGGGTGTTGATTGAGCACCCCTGGTCGAGTGATTTGTGGAAGCGCCCAGTGGACAGTTGAAGTTGCACAAAGCAGACATGTGTGCATATCAGCTACAAGACACTGACAGTGGGCAGCCGATCCTCCGACAGGCCTAGCAGTGTCCCATGAGGATATGGCTCAGTATGCCTTGACGTGTCCAAAACATGACAGTCATCAAGTGTTGGCAGGGCATTCTAGAGCCGCAGAATACACATCAGTGTTTGTAAAGACATGGTTGCAGTGCATTCGTCCACACCTGTGTCATTTTTCACGCGCGCAGGACTGCAGAAGTGATAGTGCCGGGGTTAGGGCCGAGGTTCATGAGGTATGCGCTGCTTCCGATGCCAGACAGGTTGAACAACTAGTCAAGAAGTTGCATAATAACCTAGGCCATCCTTCCACTAGATCTCTCGTCAGAGCCCTAAAGAATGCAGGTGCAAATGAAGCGGCAATCAAAGCAGCGGATGCCGTAGAGAGGAACTGCGAGATTTGTCAACAGAGACAGCGACCGACACCATCGCTCCCAGCAAATCCCGAGCCTGTCCTAGATTTTAACCATAAGATAGGGTGGGCCACCAAGTTGTTGCCTGGGTGGAAGGTAAATCAGCAGGTCAAGTGCATGAACGTCGTAGACTATGCAACCAGCTTTCAAATCATGGTCCCTTTGTTCGAACAAGAAACGTCAGAACTGTTGAAGACATTGTTTCTTGACCACTGGCAACGCTGGGCTGGAGCGCCAATTGAAGTGGTGGTGGACTCTGCCAAGACCAACACGGCAGAGGAAGTGTTTGCACGTCTTGAACAAGATGGCATTCGTGTCTCGACAATCGCAGCAGAGGCCCACAATCAGTTGGGCAAAGTAGAAAAACATGGACGCCTGTTTGAAGTCGTCCTGCAGAAAGTTATTGACCAGGTACAACCCAAAGATCGAGCTGAGTATGAGCAGTGCATCATCCAAACGTGAAATGCAAAGAACGAATTACTCAATCAGAAAGGCTTGTCCCCATGTCAGCTTGTTTTCGGCAGAAATCCAAGGGTCGCAGGAGACTTGTTGCAGGAGTGGCCATGTCCGGTCTCAGCAACCACACCGTTGCATGATGAAGCAGCTGAGCGAGCGCGAGCAATCCGCTCACAGGCTCGAACAGCTTTGGTTTTGTCTCAAGATGATGCATGTCTTAGGGCAGCCTTGAACGCCAGACCTAGAGCCGAACGAGAATTCCTTCCTGGAGATTTTGTTGCATATTGGAGAACGCAGAAATATCAGAAGGGAGTGCGTTTGGTGGGGGGTCGATGGTATGGTGTTGCGATAGTGATGGGAAAGGTTGGCAGGAACTTCTTGATCTTTCATCGCAAGAACATATTCAAGGTGGCACCTGAACATCTGAGACATGCCAGTGATGACGAGCGGGTGCTTGCTCAAGCGGACGGGCGAGAGATGCTTGGACTGTCCTCCCTGTTGCAGGATCCTGACAGAAAGGCCATTGGTTCACAGTTCACTGATCTCACGGATACACCAACGCCCATGCAGGCTCGAACACCGAACCCCGAAGTCGAAGACGTTTGGTTGAAACGAGGAGAGTACATGTGTAGAATTCATCGACAACCAAGAACCGCCTTATTTTGGCCATCTGAGAATGACCCAGCCTTAGAAGGGATGTGGTTCGACAATTGGCGGAAGACCATTCGTTCAGATAGCAAGGAATGCATTGTGCATCAACCCCTCTCCAATCCACAAACCAAAACCGCGTTGTGGGGAGATGAGCCTTGGAAGGGTGAAAGCCAGTTCCGATTGAGACCTAGGAGATCGATTCTGTCAGTGCAACGACGGAGACAAGTCCACCTGTGACATCTGCCGTCCAAGGCTGACCAGACAAGACAAGAATTAGGAGAGCCATATTCACGACCGGTGGCAGAACCCTACTGGCAGACTTCAGGCTATGGTCCAGTGAGAGTCAGACAACATGCAAAGAACCCACCAACCTTTTTGATTAGGCCTGTAGAAACGCAATTTGAAGACCTCCAGGGTATTCTGACTGAAAATCATGGGGCCAAGCGCAGTCACTCTCCAGATAGCAGTGCAGCCACATCCAGCAAGAGCCAAAGAACAGAAGAAGACAATTCGTGTCTGTTCGCCGACCTTGTTTTCTGAGAATGGTCCGGCAGAAAGTGTGGAGATCCTTATTGCCTTTTTCCTTCAAAAGAAGATGCAGAAGGAACTACACCATTCGAACAATCCACCACACTTGCAGGAAAAGATCGATGCTTCGAAAACGGTTGAATGGACCACACTCCGAGACGAGAAGAAGGCTCTGGCGATCATTCCGCCACATGAGGCCAAGCGCATTCGCACCAATCGACCTGATCGTATCATGACTAGTCGGTTTGTCATTGTCGAGAAGCACGAGGGCGGAGACTCCAAGATCAAGAGTCGTTGGTGTTTGCGAGGTCATCACGACCCAGACCTGTTCACCAA